CTAAGCAATAAAGCAAACATTTGTTCTAATACAGCACTGTGCCACCCTGCTTTTCCCACTCACGCTTACGCTGTTTGCACTTTTCCATGTAGACCCAAAGCAGAAATGGTGGCCCAGAGGAACAGCCCGCCTTGCAAGCATCTGATCCCCAATTCAAATCCCCAGATCCCCACGTGTGCCGATCACAGTCCTGAGTCTGTCTGGCCGCCCTGCCTTCTGCAACCCCAAAGCCATGTTTGTGACTGCTCTGCAGCCAAATGTGCTTAAGCAGCACAACCTCTGAGTAAGACCATCACTCTCTGCCCTGGCAAGCACATGTGCAGGCACTGCAACTAAGGGAGTATGATCTCCATGAGCACCACATCAAGTGCAGACAAGCACCCAGTATTTAAAAATGCACCGTGGGTCTGGAGATGAGTGTAGTGGTGGGGTGCAGGCCTTGCACGCAGCCATCCAGGGGGTTGATCACCAGCACCCCATGTGGTTCCAGGCCTGCCAGGAGTGATCCTTGAGCACAGGGCCAGGAGTAAGTCTCCAGCATGGCCGAGTGTGGCCCCAGACCAAAAGCAAACACCAAAACTGTGCCAGTCTCCAAACCCCCATAACCACTGAAACCACCACCACCACCACCACGGGAACGGGGAAGGAGAGGGCAGTGAGATTTAAAAGGCAGAAATGTGGTCGTATCACCCAACTCATTACTACACAAGAAAAACTATTATAGGGTCTTAAGGAAAAAATTTTTCCTAGACTTCCAAAGATAATATATTTTCCTACTGATCTACACAAAATATACCATATGCATTAATATCAATGTTCAGTCACGGTCACGGTCCTCCCATTGTTCATCGATTTGCTCGAGCAGGCCCACTAATGTCTCCATCTTGTGACTTGTTGTAACTGTGTTTGGCATATCGAATACATCACTGGTAGCTTGCCAGGCTCTGCCGTGCGGACGAGATGCTCTCAGTAGCTTGCCGGGCTCTCCGAGAGGGGCGGAGGAATCGAACTCGGGTCGGCCATGTTGGCTGCTTGTAAGGCAAATGCCCTACTGCTGTGCTATCGCTCCAGCCCCAATATAAATGTTAATGAAAAATAAATTATAAAGATATAAACCCACCCCAGTATAGGTTTAAGGCAATTATAAACACTTTAAATTGCTTCAAAAAACATTCACCCACATTAATCTAAATTTCAACTACAAAAACTAACAGGGAATACTAGCTAAGAAAATTGTGACAAGAAATTATAAGTATCCCCCTCCATAACACCAAATACATTTATTTTAGAGAAAATACAACAATGTAGTGCTGCTAAATGAGTAAAGGCCAAGTATAGTGACTACTAGGCTGTTTTTATATTTTCTACGAGGCTGCTTTTATCTTTTGTACTACATATTCCTATTTTGAGAAACTAATGCAACTGTAGCTTCTTCCCCCGAAAACCCATAGTTGCACATTTGACATAGAATAATGTACATCAAGGTATCCATAGAACTCTTCAAAAATCTACTAATATCCCCACAGATCAATGGACCTAGGTCAAATATTCCTAGTAAATGAATCTGAGCTATCTAATAGCTAAAATCAAGTACCTAAATTATGATCAAACTCAGGGATTATGTTACCATCAAAAGCAGCTATTCTCGGACCTGAGGAAGCGCCTTAATTCTAGGGGTTAAAGCACTCTGCCTTGCATGCAGCCGACCCCAGTTCAATCGCCAGCACTGTATATGGTCCTCTGAAACATAACCAGGACTGACCCCTCAGCAGAGTCAGGGTAAGTCCTAATCACTGGTCTGGCCCAACCACCGGGACACCACCACCCCCAGCTGCAGAACAAAAAAAAGAAGCAAGCCTAGTAAAAGAAAAATCAGCCAACATAAAACGACGACAAAATTGTAGACACTTGGGGGAAACAGAAACTTACGTTTATACTGTATGCCAATTAAATGCCAAAAGATTAAATCATACTTTCAAAATACCATTAGGGCCAGAGATGGCTCCACAGGCAGGAAGGAACGCTCTGCACGCGGGAGAACCTGCTTCGGGCCTGGCCCCACGCCCCAAGCACCAAGCTGGGAGTTACACAGACAGTAACAACAATCATATCTACGACGGTACAGATCATTTCTATTAAAGCAGACAGGAAGAAATGAAAGATAAGCCTTTAGTTCCTTTCACACAGACATTTTCTAGATACAGAAGTCCTGGAAGAAATGAGAAAAGAAAAAAACAGTGATAGGAAAAGAAAAGAAAAATAGGAAAATGCAAAACTTCTGAATAAAACTATGATCAATTTTTAAGTCCAAAATCAGGACTGAAAAAATATTAAAAAGCAGTGAGCTGGTATATATAAATGTTACAAGACATTCGCCACAGGAAAAATGTGGGGGGAAAAAAAACCTCTGATAATTAATTTGTAAAAACTGAAGAACTGTGCATATATTACAATGTTCACCATTTAACAAAAATAAGAGTTCGTATTTTCTACCGCCATATTGATGGTGACATAGAAAATACTTTCAAAAGACAAAGTTTTTCAATTTGCTAAATACTTTTAAAAGCGCACTGAAACTAATTTCAAAGAAATCGTAATGACTCATGTACAAAAATGTTCACTGTAGTGCTACTTATAATAAATTTTATGATACATATTATAAAGTGCTATAAAAATAAATGGGCAATAGCAAACAGTCAACAGGAATGGTTTAATTAGTACATTCTTTTTAGAAGTAACAATGTTATGCAACCACTTGGAAATGTATTAGAAGAATATTTGATAATTTGGGATATTTTTATAATATATTAAGAAAATACTGAGTCATTTTAAAATAACAAAAGAATACCTACAATATAACACTATGTGAAAAGAACAGAAATGAAATTACGATAAAAAATGAAAACTGTTCTTCGTTGCTCAACTAATAATCTAAGTCATAAAAATAACCAAAAATTTTAAAGGTTTATTCCTAAGTGCAACAAATTAATTTTCCAAGTGGACTACAGTAGATCCTGAAATATTTAAATACATTTACCCTATATTTGAATAACAATTTAACAAAGTTTTCATAGTTTCTTACTCAATTTTTTTTCAAACTAGATGTATGATAGTTAAAGTTTACAAATCTAAAAAAAATTTAATTACTTCATAACTCAGTACTCATTCCTGAAGCAAACTAGTCTTAGTACTTACATATGCTATGTGTCCAAATTCTGTGCAAAACAAAAAAATTCAAAACACGTTTGTTTTTGATACTACCAATGAACAATTGCTTTCTAAATACATTTTCCATTGAAATCTCTAAGGAAGGTTTTAGCAATGACAAATTATGATTCCATTGAGAAAAAAAATAATTTCCCTACCATTCCAACCTATAGCATATGGAATGTCGTTCAAAAAAAAAAATCTACCAATCAAAATTATTTTTTTCAATTACATCTATGCCAAGAGTAGGCAAGAGAAGTCCTTCAACCAAGCCAGATTATAAAAGCAGTCACAACTTGCCCTGACAGGTGACAGATGCAAACTCACAGCGACTTAACCAATCATATACCAACTGTATATACATAACACATTGATGAAGTTGTCATAAGTCATTGACAACGTTTTGACCCTGGAAGAAGTCATTTGCACAATGTGAAAATCCTACTAAAGTTCTCCCAAGTCTGTTACATAAGACTTCTAGTGACACCACCTTAGACTAAAATAATTAGTATGACTGATTTCAATAAACTAAAACCAAGAATCAATTTAAGAAAGCAAACACAACAATTACACCTGATAACACACATATATGGGGCAGTTTATTCTTTCATCAACTATTTTTTCTTCATAATTATTGCACATGATTTCCCCAGAAAGAATTCAATGCACTTGGGGACTCTTTGAAACATTTTTATTAGAAAATTTTATCAAGCATTTTATCTTGCATATAAAAATAAACATAAAAATATTAATTTTACCAAAAATAATTAAAAAATTAGATAGCTAACTTGAATCAGTATTTACCAGGCTTTAAAAACATGTCAACTTCAAATGCAAGTATGAACAGAGGTATACAAACTGATCAAATTCAAAATTTGACTGAGCGTAGAATGTTTTTATAACAAAAAAAATCCACAAATTTAAAACTTCACTGAGTGTAGAATGTTTTAGTAACAAAAAAAAAAATCTACAAATTTAAAACTTCACTAAGAGTAGAATTTTTTAATTGCCAAAAAAAAAAATTCTCCAGAGATCGGAGGAAAAAAAAATTTAAACCTTAAATTCTTCCAATGCACCAGCCTTCAGTTTCCTCTCCCAAACTCACACCTTGTTTCTATTCTGTAAACATTGTATCCATTCACAAATATTTCAACTAGGGTTAAAAACCGAGTCTGCAAGTCTGCCCTTCAAAACTCAATGCACTTTCCACGCGAACACCACTAGGTGCTGATCTTTTATCTCCTCAAGTCCCACATTCGAACCCGGCACCACCCTAAAAAAAAAAAAAAAGCAGCGAAAATTTCCAAAAAAAAAAAAAAAAAGAAAGAAAGAAATCAAGAACCACAAGAGCCCCTCGTGATTGCATGCAATAAAAGTTGAACCGCTTCTTTCGGGGCGAGATCTGCGAAAAAGCCACTGGGGGGTCGGTCCAGACGCCCAGGAGCCGGGCACGCATCTCCCCGGGAAACGGCGGGCACCTGCGGGCAGCCAAACGCCCGCCCTCGAGGGAACCGAGAGCCTTAAACCTAGAACCCAAATGGCGTCCAACAAGAACATTAGATCCTGAACATGAATATTGCGCTTGCGCAGCCACCGCCCCGCCAGCTGCACCACTGCAGCTAGAGCCCGTCCCCGCAGGGTCACGTGCTCCCATGCAGCGCCGCCCGCAGCGCCGCAACCGCGCAGGCGCACACGCTGCGCCCGCAGCCGCCATAATGCGGTCCGGACTCTTCCGAGATACAATAGTAATTTACGAAAACGTGGTTCCAACAGCCCCTGGGATGTACATATACCTTCTGGGGCGGGAGGTGAGGGAGGGGAACCAAGTTCCTTCCTACACAGCCGTTCCGCGCAGCCGTCCCCGACGCTGCCGCCTCAGCCTCACGCGCTTCGCTCGCCGCGCCGCCGCCGCCACCGCCGCCGCCTCCGCAGATTCAAAAACAAACCCGCTTCTCCCCTGCACGCGTCGGGGCCGTTATGCAAATTTACGGAGGCGGGGCTCCGTGCGCGTCCTGGGGGCCACGCCCCCCGCGCCCTCCGCCAATCGGCTCACGCCCTCGCTGTGCCCCATGCAAATCTCTTGGTTTTTTATTTGAATGAGGGGAAATTAGCCCCGCCTCCTGCCGTGGAAAAGAGAAGTCCGAGGTGGTGGCGCTGTGACTTTCAGTTGCCATGCGAGGTGTGTTTTTGAGTGGAGCTGTGCTCTAGCAGTGAGTAGCACTTTGTGAACGCCGCCCTCCAGGAGCCGGGAGAAACGGGAGGGGATAGGTAGGTGAGAGTTGCAGCGCTTAGGGGAAGACACTGCAAAAAGGCTACGGTGTGAGGAGTTGCACAGCCTTTGAAACGTGCAAATTATGCTTTGCATTAACACTGGCGGTGAGAAGAATATCTTTTTTTTTTTCCTCAGTTGTGGGTGAGGACACGCACTTTGCACCCTTTCCACCGGAGCTTGTAACAGCCCTCTTGTTCTATTAGAGCACTGGTGCATTCCCCTAGGAAGGCCTAGGACAGTGACGACCCTCGGAAAAGGTGTTCCTCTCATTTTCGGGGCATCTGCGCTCCAGTGCATGGACACTGCGTATCTGCCTGCTCCTTGGAATAAGTGTTTCATTACCTTCTCCCCTTTTTGGAGGACAGGGAGGAGCATTTGGCTACTACTGGCTCTCCATTCAGGAGTCACACCATGCATTGCTCATGGGGCCATGTTCGCAGTGCTAGGATTGAAGTGTGGGTCGAGGATGTTCGCAAACTAATCGCCTTACCCGAGCGCATGGCCCTGGCACAGTTAATCCACTTTCTCATCTCTGAAATGCTGATAATGCCTGTGCTACTTTATTAAGAGGATTACTTGATAGAATAAATGTACATGGGCGTTAGCAAAATAAAAAGAATATTTTATGGTTTGGACATTAGTTTACTTTTTTAATTTTTTTTTTTTTAATTTTTGAGGTGGGGAATTGACTCCGAGGGCTGGAGCATACACTTGCATGCAGGATGCCCAGGTTCAATCTCCAGCACCATGTGGTCTTCCCAAGCACTGCCAGAAGCCTCAAAACAATCCTCCCTTAAATTAGTCTGTTTATTCAATATATATTAAGCAGTCACTGTTAAAGAACTATATTAGGTACTGGTACATTCTTAAGAAATCTTACGTACCTGTTCTTAAGAATTCTTATATAGTAAAGCAAGCAAAATAGAAACAGGAAATGTTTCAAATAAAAAAGTAGCACAGTGGTAAACGTTCACCCTGCATGTATTTGAGACCTGATTTTATTGTTTCTTTAAATAATAAATGTTTGCTTTGGGCCCTCACTCAGAGGTGTTCAGGATTTACTCCTGTCTCTGTCTTCAGGGATCACTCCCAGCTTGTTCAGAGGGCTTGACACCAGGGATGAAATCCAAGTTGGTAGTGAGCAAGGCAAACACCTGACCAGTGGCCTGGTTTTAATTTATGGCATCGCAGAAGAAAAAAAAAGAAAACAATAGATGGTGGTTAGTGCTTATTTTTTAATTGGGAACTCTCTACTTAATTGAAACACAGAGTGGCTGTTAGAAGAAACACTTAATCCAAACTTGGAAGACCAGTAACATCTTCCTGGAAGAGCAAATGTGTAACAATGATTTAATAAATTTTTTTGCCCAAAAGATGGACTTCATTGTGAACTCAGTAAGGTCCAGGAAATAGCACAGTTAGACTTAATTGCTAGGCCTTGTAAAGTATTTAGCCCAGAATATAAAATGTAGGTGCTTGAAAAATGGAGCCTCATTATAACAAAATAGTGTATTAACTAATACATAGTTTCTCAATTATAAAATAAATGCTCAGGGGTAGAGAGATAATACAGGAATTAAGACATTTGCCTTGCTGGCAGTCAAGTTAAATTCGTAGCATCTCATATGGTCACCTGAGTCTCAGCAAGAGTGACCCTTCCACACTGTTGGGTTCCCTACCCCACCCCAATAAGTGCTCATTAAATTATAAATATTAATAGACATTGAAAGTGCACCTATATAATAATAAGAGAAAGTGATTGGGAAAAGGTCAGAGAATATATGCAGAGAGAAATCTAACAGGGCCACAGATATGGCTCAGTGGTAGAGCACTTGACTTGTATAGGTGAAACCCTGAGTTCTGTTCTGGAACTTCCTTCCTCTGACCCAAAAAAGGAGAGAAACCTAATAGCCTCGATTATTCCAGTCTGGTTCCTTTTCTCACTGTCATTCCATTTTTATTCATTTGCTTTTGATTTGAAGGCCACACCTAGGAGTGATCAGGTTCCTTAAGGAACCATGAAGAGCCAGGGATCTAACCGCAGCTTCCTGTATGCAAAGTATGTGTTCCAATGGGCTGACCTATTTTCCCAGACCTCATTTGGATAATTTTTGTTGAGATGTCACCTAATTTCTAAGCCTGTCTTCTATAGGTTCAACTCATCTGACAAGTTATAAGTTTTAGACATACTTTTCAATTTTAAAATATCTACAGATGTCTAATACTTTCTAATTTTCTGGCGCATGTTTTAATGCATTATTTCTCTTTTATATGTGTACAATATGTGAGCTATATACTAATGACCAATATTTTTCCCTTTTAATCACTGGGCACATTTTATTCCTCTTTGGTTTTACTGTATGCTGGTCATTGGGTGTAAAAGAACAGTAGTGTTATAAATATGATGTGTTGTTCCTGAACTCACATGTTGAAGTCTTAAATTCATGTGATTATAGTTGGAAATAGGAAAAATTAAGGCGGTAATAAGTTTAAATGAGATCAAAGGGTAAGATTGTAACACTGCCCCCTCTCCAAAGAAATAAAGAGAGAGTTTATCTTTATCTTCAGAATATAAAGACACTAGGAATATGTGTGTGCATAGAGAAAAAGTCTTCTGAGAAAGCAATAAGAAGGAAGTCTTCCCTAGACTAATGAGAAAGGTTGCAACACAAATCAATCTTGCCAGGACCATGATCTTGGACTTCCAGTCTCTAGACCCACTTCTCTGTCTTATCAGAATTTGCCAGATATATGTATTGAAGTCAAGTCATCAGAGTCTGAAATATGTTGATTTCTATCTCCTTTAACTCAGCAATTTTTCATGTTACAAGAGTTGTAGTGACCTTGATTGTCAAATTCTGGTTGTTAAACCAGGACGTAGGCAGCTGGAGCTACAGCACAGGGGACAGGCAATACCTCAGGAAACATAAATAAGAATGAAGACACAAGTTACAAAACAAATGGGACACAGCAAAAGTGATGTTAAGAGGAAAGTTCATAGCAGTGCAAACATTCATTAGGGAGCAAGAAAGGACATAAATAAATAATCTAAGTTTAAGGTGCTAGAAAGAGAATAAGAAAAGGAATGCAGCAAGGAAAAGGAAGTAAATAATCAAATTTAAAGCAGAAATCAAGGAAATGGAAACAAACAAACAAAAAAAAGTCAATGAAACCAAGACCTGGTTCTTTGAAAGAATAAACGAGACAGAAAAACCATTAGCTAAACTCACAAAAAAGAAAGAAGACCCTAATAAACCAAATCAGAAGTGAAAGAGAAGGCAATACAACAGATACCATACAAATTCAAAGTCACTGTCACTGTCACTGTCCTGTTGTTCATCAATTTGCTCGAGTGCGCCCAGTAATGTCTCCATTGTGACAATTGTTACTGTGTTTGGCATATCGAATACATCACAGGTAGCTTGCTCAAAGTATCATCCAGAACTACTGTGAAAATCTTTATGTCATAATATTGGAGAACTGAGAAGAAATGAATAAATTTGGGGACTCTCATAATCTTCCAAGGCTGAACCAAGAAGAATTGGAGCACCTCAACAGAATAACTGCTATCAAGGACATTGAAATGGTAATAATAAAAAAGTCTTCCCCCAAAATAAAAAATTCAGGCCCAAATGGGTTTACTAATAAAGGTTCACCCAACCTTTAATGAAAACTTGCTTTCAGTTCTTTTTACATTTTTCCAGAAAGTTGAAGATCGAAACTCTCCCAGTTTCTCTGAGGCAAATATTACCGAGGCCAAAAGCAGAGACATCACTAAAAAAGGAAAACTATAGACCTAAATCCCTGAAGACTATAGACGCAAAAGTCCCTAACAAAATATTAGCAAATTCAATCCAGCAATACATCATCAAGATTATACATCATGACCAAGTAGGCTTTATCCCAGGAATGCAAGGATGGTTTAAGATACACAAATCAGTCAGTATAATGCAATATCAATACAAGGAAAAATTAAAACCGATGATCATATAATAGATACAGAAAAAGCATTTAAAAAAATCCAACATTCATTCATGATTAAAAACAAAAACAATAAAATGGGGACATAAGAAAATTATCCCCAACACAGTTAAAGCTGGAGCGATAGCACAGCCGGTAAGGCAAACACCTTGCGCGCAGCCAATCCGGGTTCCATTCCTCTGCCCCTCTCGGAGAGCCAGGCAAGCTACCCAGAGTATCCTGCCTGCACCGCAAAGCCTGGCAAGTGACGTATTTGATATGCCAAAATCAGTAACAACAAGTCTCACAAGTTGTTGTGAGATGTTACTGGTGCCCGCTTGAGCAAATCGATGAACAATGGGAGGACAGTGCTACAGACAGTGCTATAGTTAAAGCTATAGGCCATATAAACCCACAGCTAACATCCTACTCAATGAAGAAAACCTCTCCTCTAAGATCAGGCACAAGGCAAGGTTGCCCACTCTCATTACTATATTCAATATAATAGTGGAGCTGATATGGGCCCTGAGTATTGCCAAGTGTGGCCCCAACACAAAAACAAGCCAAATGAAAAAAAATCAGGGCAATTTCTATAAACGGGGAAAATATTTAGAAAAGGGGAATATAGCCACAGGCAGTGTTTTGTTTAACAGCAGTAATAGTTACCTGGTTTTCATAATTTATATACAGGATGACGATTTCATAACCCTTTAGCTATATTGAGAGAATAAAGGTTT